CTTCTGGGGACCTCTGGATCTTGGGAGATGTCTTCATCAGGGTGTACTACAGCATCTTTGACCGGGCCAACAACCGCGTTGGGCTGGCCAAGGCTGTTTAGATCCACCACGATGGGAGAGCTGCTGGGGTTTGTGCACACCCAGCCCCAACCAAGGCTTTTGGCACAAATAAAGAGCTGGTGGTTCTGAGGTGGTGGCTGTGTGTGTATTTCTGATGGAATGGCAGGAGGCAGGAGGAGCTGCTTTGTGGTGGCCAAGGATGGTTTGTCCATCACAGCTCTGCTGAGGGCCCCTGGGAGCTGTGATTGCTGCTGGGCTGAGGGGTGGAAGCCAAGGTTGGCTCTTTTAGTGGGGCTACAACAAGTAGGGGATTCTGGAATGCTGAGGAAGATGAAACAGGAAAACCTTATAAATATGATTGTCTGGCAAAAGAGTTTGAGAATATGGAAACTATAAGTGAGATTGAAATGAAAGCAAGCTTTGAGATACCTCAGTTACTGAACAGCTGGAAAACAATGGTGTGGCCAGATAAAAGTAATCCCCCTTTGATGGAACAACACCCTCTACTTGCAGACAGACCCAAGTGGAATTGCTCATCAAGAAGCCAGGAGAGAGATCCAGGTCCCTGCTGTGTCTTCATTTCTGCAGCACTGAGGGACAAGGGGCTGCTGGCTTTATTTGTTGGTAAATTAAGGCTCCACCACTGGTGGGGCCTAGAGATTCCATCCCCAGCAGGAGCAGGGATGTGGAGGGGGAGATCCAGGTGATTTGGGTCAGAAATTAATTGTCTTCTTGCACTGTGTAAGAACTGAGCTGGCTGTAGAGGAGGATGTGATGTAGGATGGTGGGAGTGGGATTTACCCCCCACATCCCTGGAATCCCAAATCCCTGGGATTTTCAGCCCAGCTGGTGGAAATTCTTTGTGCCCAAGCACAAGAGTGATCCAGCCCCGGATTTTGGGCATGTGAGACTTGCCCTCAGCTCTGTCACAGGAATTTTCTCATTACTATTGATGCCTCAGGTTTGGCTTTTATATTTTTCAGGTTCTGTGCTGCTTTAGTGTGTGGGTCTGGGTTCACATTAGGGGATGGAGAGCTCTGTGCACAGAACAGGGAGACAAAACAATTCCTGCTCCAGCTGGGGACCAAGGACAAATGATCCAAATCTCAGCCCAAGAGCACAAACAACGTGGGCTAAAGAGAGAAAAACAAGAAGGATGGGACTGCATGGGGTAAAGCTGGAATTGGACAATGAACTGCAAGATGCAAATTGAGCAGAATTAATAAAAGTGACAGACCCTGTGACCATTTGTGCATTTTGTGACCATTTTCGGTTCACCTGGGGTGTAGCCCTGGCTGGGCTTTTGTGCTGCCCAAGGTGGATCCACCGAGGCCTCCAAATTTATTCCCTTTTTAAATCCCTATTTTATCCCCCTTATTTTTTATCTCTATTTTTATATTATTTATTTACTCCCTGCTTTATTCTTTAGCTCTGTCTGGTCTCTATTCCAGCTCAGCCTCCTCAAGGCATTGCTATGACCAAGAATAAATGAGGCAGGTGTAGGGGGAACTGTGACTCCGAGGATCAGCCCTGCAGGGACAGACAAGACCTGGAGGAGCAGCCAGGGTTGGATCTGCCCTTTCAGAGTGGTGGGAGTGGCATGTTGGTCCTAATTCCAGGCGGGACCAACCTGGCCTCAATGCCATCTCTAAATCCAACAGTTCCTAAATCCTCCTCCTGCTGAGAATTCCCCATAAAGGGATTCCCCCACGGGAGCATCCCCCTGGCCGGGACAGCCCTTCCTGCAGCTTGCATGCCAATAAAGGGATAAACCAAGGAAAAGCTTCCAAGTGCTGATTGGAGAGCGGAGAGCCAGCTGGGACTGCCAATCCTGGAGTGCCATCTCGTGGCTCCTGTGCCAACCCTGAAATCCTGGATGCTCCATCCCTGGCAGTGCCCAAGGCCAGGTTGGACAGGGCTTGGAGAAACCTGGGATAGGGGAAGGTGTCCCTGCCAATGGCAGGGTGAGCTTTGAGGTCCCTTCCAACCCAAACCATTCTGGGATTCTCGGGAATTTCAGCTCAAAGGAGGGAGTCACTCCTACCTGCAAATATTTCACATCTGGCCACAGGTTTTGTATTGCTTAAAGGATAAAACATGGCCAGGACACTTTCTGATAGAGCAAAGGGGGTTCTTGTCTACTTTTAGCTTTTCCTGAGGCAGTAAAAACCTTGAAAAGGGAATTCAACCTCTGTGCAGAAGGACATGCCAGATTGGCTCATTAGGGCTTGGCTCTGGAACAGGACAGGTACTGAAGGCTTTGTAGGGATTTTGTTGGGCTTTAAGCTTTGGGGCTGTGTTTGGGAAGGGACAAAGCTGCAGATTGTGCAGGAAAATGGGGTTTCTTGCAGGTTTTCATCAGTGTTGGCACTGGGAGTTCATAGCCTGTTTTTCCTCCTCTTTGGGGCAAACTGGAAATAGGTTGGTGTGTCTGGGGAGGTTTAATGCCTCTGATCCCCTTTTCATGGCATCAGTCAGGGATCCTCCATGGACCTGATCTCCCACAATGGATGGTGTGACCCAATCTGCAGAGTTTGTCCTCATCTCACAGAGCTGGAAATCTGCAATTTTCTGTTTTCCAGAGCAGCTGTGGCTGCCCATTCCCTGGATTGCCCAAGGCCAGGCTGGACAGGGCTCAGAGCAACCCAGGACAGTGGAAGGTGTCCCTGCCTTGTGGAATGAGGTGAGCTCCAAAATCCCTTCCAGCACAAACCATTCTGGGATTTGATATTGCCCCATGTCCCGACCCTCCCACACACAATTCCCAGCTGGAATTGCGTTGCCATGGAGCAGCACAAAGCCAGGAACAAAAAAAAGTTGAGTCCAAACAAAACAATATTTTCTGCATATCAGATTTTGAAGCATTTATTCTTTTATTTGAGGATAGTTTACAAGTTTATAAGAATCAGGTTGTCCGTCCATCCATCCATCCATCCATCCATCCATCCATCCATCCATCCATCCCAGCACCATTACAGTCCATGTTTGCAGGAGGAATGGAAATGTGCTCGTGGCTGATCAGGCTGAATATTTCCCAGCCCAAACCTTCTCATCAGAGTTTTTTCATGGTGATTTCCCAGGGAAAAACCACCAAAAGTGCTTCAGATCAGAGAGGCTGGGAGAGAATTCGGGGAGGGGAGCAATAAAAATACAAAAGAATGGAAAAAAAAAGTTTATAGAAGGAAAGGAGAATGAACCTGTTATGAAATAAAAGTAGTGATGTGAAAGAGCTGCTGGAGAGAATTGAGGGGTGAAAAGAGAGGAGCTGGGAATGTTTGAGTGCTGTTCCCAGCTGTTCCCAGCTGTGGCTCCTCCAGCTGTGCCCAGCTGTGTGTTCTCCAAGCATCCCCACAGAACTTGGACACAGTGGGAAGGAGATTAAATAGCTCTGACAGCTCCTCCTGTCTGAAATGGTGGTGTGAGGGCTGCAAGGGAGGGGAAAGGGATGGTGGAGGGATGGGCATAAAAAACAACAGGGAGAGCAGGTGGTAAGTGGGATTTGTCCCAGAGGGAAAAGGGATTGTACTGGTCATGTCTCAGATCCATCTCCTGGGGTGAAAAACACCTCATTGCAGAAAGACAGGGCACAGAATCCCCTAAAACCAAAATAACAACCCCCTCCTATCAGGGCTGTGGGATTTCTGCTGCAGGGAAAATCCCAGTGAGCCCAAAGTGACATTTTCCAACAGAGCAGGAGCAATAAATCCAACCCCTGTTCCACCGCTGCTTTCTGAATGAAATTGCAAACCAGAAATGCTGGCAGGCTGTGTGATGATCAGGGGGATCTGCCAGGAGATGAGACATCTGTGCAGCAGGTGTGGGACATCAGAGTGGATGAGACACTGCACGAGAAGCTGGGATTTCAATGGAGGCAGAAACATTTAAAAAAAAAGAAAATTGAGTGAAACAGTGAAGTGGGAACAAAATGTTTTTGTCAGAAAAACTGCTGGCATTGGAGACAATGGCAAAATGAGCTGCTGCTGGCTGCTCCCATCCAAAGTGCCACTGGAAATTTGCATTTTTGGGAAAGCAGAAGTGCCTTGTTACAACAGGGAGTGGAGCTGTCAGGAAATGTTGGTTCTCGTTGCTCTCTGCCCCCTTTGCAGCACCAGTAGTGACAATAAAAGCTACAAGGTCACAGTGGCTCATCCCCAGGGCTGTTTGTAAACCAGATAATGAGCATTTATTGCAGGAGAAATCCCATTCCCTCTCTCAGAGCTCAGTTTTCCAGCAGAAACCCCGGTGGGCTTTGAGCTGCAGTGCCCTGGACCTTTGGGGTGGCTGTGCCCCCGTGTCTGGTCAGCAACCCCAAATTCCCCCCTGCTGCCTTGGGTCCATCCGTGACTGCCCACCCTGCTGTGCCATCAGAATTAATGAGTCAGGCAGACAGGGAACTCATCCAGCTAAAAATATCCCTTCTCATTTCTTTTTGCCAGCTTATTTTTGCCGTTGCAGGCCTGGGAATTTGTCTGACCCCCAGATGTGAAGTGGTGGGCAGGGAGGAACTATTTAAAATATTTAAAATTATTTTTATAAGCAAAGCAGGGAACTGGACCCACCTTCATCCCTGGGCAGCTGGGTGTTACCAAGCCAAGCATTTCATGTCATTTTGCCCTTTTTTCCTCTCCAGTAAATGGGGAAATCTCTGTATATGTGGGAATTCCACTCTGACACCAGGAGTGTGGAAGGAGAGAAGACAAATGTCAAGCAGATGAGCATCAAATAAAAAACACCAGACCGATGGGCAGGGCAGAGAGATAAGAAAGATGGTATTTATTTGAACAGCCACAGGAAATCAGAGATTGAAAAATGTCTAAAAAAAAAAAAAAAAAGCAGCAGCACATAATTTTAAAAAAAAAATAAATCAGAGCATGCAGATGTTGGATGCATTTTCCAGCCAATCCCATCTGACCGTGCCCAGTCCCTCAGGGCCTCAAGCATCATTTTTTGGCCTTGTCTCGAGGGTAACCCCCATTGGTCTTATTGAGTGACTCCATGCTGCCGTTGCCTGTGGCCACGCTGGCCAGCAGCCGCTCCACCTCCCCGGGCAGCATCTGCTTCTCCTCGTTCTCCGTCTCCCGGTGGTAGAAGTAATTGAAGTTGGAGACGATGACGGGCACGGGCAGGGCGATGGTCAGCACGCCCGCGATGGCGCACAGCGTCCCCACGATCTTGCCGCCCAGCGTGGTGGGACACATGTCCCCGTAGCCCACGGTGGTCATGGTGACCACGGCCCACCAGAAGCCGTCGGGGATGCTGGAGAAGTGGGACTGCGGCTCGTCGACTTCCGCGAAGTAAACGGCGCTGGAGAAGAGGATGACGCCGATGAAGAGGAAGAAGATGAGCAAGCCCAGCTCCCTCATGCTGGCCTTGAGGGTCTGGCCCAGGATCTGCAGCCCCTTGGAGTGCCGGGAGAGCTTGAAGATGCGGAAGACCCTGACGAGGCGGATGATGCGCAGGATGGCCAGGGACATGTTCTGCTGCCCGTTGAGTTCGCTCTGCTGGATCAGCTCGGTGGTGAGCGTCACGAAGTAGGGGATGATGGACACGATGTCGATGATGTTCATGATGTTCCTGAAGAACTCGGTCTTGCTGGGGCACACGATGAACCGGACAAAGAGCTCAAAGGAGAACCAGACGATGCAGGCAGTCTCTATGACGAAGAAAGGGTCTGTGAAGGTGCTGTGGGACACTAAGGTGTCTGTCACATTCCTAGAAAGCTCCTGGGTGGACCTGAACTCCCTCTCCTCCCGGAACTCCGGCAGGGTCTCCATGCAGAAGATGATGATGGAGATGACAATGACCAGGACGGAGACCAAAGCTACGCCTCTGGCTGCACTGGAGCTCTCAGGGTACTCAAAGAGCAGCCAGAACTGCCTGTGAAAGTCATTGGTTGGTAAGAGGGTCTCAGGATCCTTGATGAACCCTTCATCCTCCCGGAACTGGTCCATGGCTTCATCACCCAGCTCATAGAAGGTGATTTCATCAGCAAAGACGTCGATGGGGACGTTGGCCGGGCGCCGTATTTTCCCCCCAGACTGGTAATAGTACAGGATCCCATCAAAACTGGGCCTGTTCCTGTCAAAGAAATATTCATTCCTCATGGAGTCGAAGTAACGCATCCTCTTTTCCGGGTCCCCGAGCAAGGTCTCGGGGAACTGGTCCAGGGTCTTGAGCCGCGTCTCAAACCTCAGCCCAGCGATGTTGATGATGACTCGTTGGTCGCCCTCATCCATGCCCACCCTCTCCCCCACCAGGTGGTCGCTGAACTCGGCGGAGAACCTGGAGAAGATGGTCTCATTGTTGGCGTTCTCGCTGTTGATGAGGATGCGCAGGTTGGACAGCAGGTTGGCGCAGCTGGGGTGGCCCTTGCGCGACTGCCCGGCGGGGCTGAGGTCGTTGGAGTAGCAGGGGTCCTCCACGATCTGATCAGCGTTGTCAAAACTGACTAGTGCCACCTCCATCTCCTTCCAACTGGCCACGTCCATCATACGCTAGTCAGCTCAGCAGCAGAAACCCCCGCGGCTGACGCCGGCTGCCTGCGCCTGTCCCACGCTAGGAGGATCTGCAAGGGACAGGACACAGAGCTGAACTGTGCACGAGCAGGGTGAAACAAACCCTGAGAGGCCACACCACCCTGTTCTGGCTTTAATGGAAGCATTATTGCCGTTGAGTAGCATGACTTCCAGCAAGCCGCTCATTTTTGGATCCTGCACGCCCTTTTGGCACGGCTTTGCCGTTGTTAAACCTCCCAAAACCACCTACAGAACCCGAGGATGGAAGGTCAGACAGCAGCAGAGGATGGGGGTGAATCCAGGTGTCCCACCCTACCTCTCCCCAGTGATCCCACAGCAAGGGGTCCTTTCATCCATTTCCAGGTGTGGATCCAAAGCTCAGAGCAGGATTTGGAGGTTTTAAACACAGCTGTCCCAAGTTAAGGGCAGCCCTTGTTCCAGGTGGGAGAAGCATTGGGTCAAATCCCAGGATGTCCTAGGCACTATGCAGGTGAGTCAAGCATTATTGGGAAACAATTCCCAAAGCAGGAACACACTGGAGTTTGGGGAATGCAGCCCAGGGGGAAGCAGGTCAGGAGGAGAAATGTCCACCAGCCTTGGAGAACCCCTTTGGTCTGGGAAGAGGGGTGGAAACATGATCCCTGGCCTTGGGGCAGGCACAGGATGGGGTGACATCCCCCAGAGCTCTCCTAGCCCTCCTCCACAACAGACCTGATATTCCCAGCCCCAGGAAGAAGCTCAGGACTAAGCTCAGGACTAAGCCTTTGGATCCCTTGGAGAGCACCTTTCAGGCCATGGGGTGGATTATTTCCCAGCCCAGCTCTGAGAGGCACTCAGAGACAGTCCCCACATCCCCAAATATTCCTGGGCACACATCTCCCCACACACCAACATCATTCAGAGCTCAGCAAAGTCAAAGAGGAGCCCAGGGACCAGGCCAAGTTATGGAGCTGGGAAATTACCTGTCCTGCCTCAGGGAGAAGCACAGAGAGAAATTAGGTGTTAACAGGGAGCAGTTCTGTGGAGATTTTCCCCAGAATGAACTTTCTAAGTAAATTCAGTGCCCTGATTTATTTCCCCTCCAAATGTATTTCCCAGACATGAGGCACTACAGGAGGACACGTGGGGCTGCTCTGCGTGACCGCTGCTCACCAAGGGCACTCTGGCTTTCTTACCCAGCCAGTCAGAGGGACACAAAAAACCCAAATGCCCTCAACTGCCAGGAATAGCAACACAATTTAGGCCACGGAGCAGCAGCAGTGGTGCCAGGGCTGGTCCTGTGATGAGGATGGTCCCCAGTGCTGGGTTTGCTTCCAGGGCTGGGCAGGATCTCATCCCCCTATGGAGCCTGAGCTGCTCCCTGTGCCTCGAGCTCCCTGTTTCACTGATTTGGGGTGCTTGAGGTTTTGCCTGCCCAGAAGCTGAGAATCCATCCTTGCTGATACACAGCTGGGGTGGGGTTTGCTTCCCAGAGCTGGGCAGGAACTCATTCCCCCATGGGACCTTAGCTGCTCCCCAAGCTGCTCCCCAAGCTGATTTGGGGTGCTGAAGGTTTTTCCTCCCCAGAAAATGAGGGTCCATCCTTGCTGACACACAGCTGGGGTAGGACAGGCCCCCCCAATCTGTTGCAGAAATGGGCATGAAGAGCCTGATTTGCCCAAATCCTCCCTCTCCTCCTCTCAGCTCTACAGCTCCGGCAGCAGAAGCTCATACAGGACCCAGCATCCATGGGTCAACCTCCCTCTCTCCTCAGTAGGAGATTCTGGATTTGGGGCAAATCCTACAATTTGTCATAAGCTGACACACAACTGGGGTAGGACAAGCCAAAATCCCCCCCAATCTATTGCAGAAATGGGCATGAAGAGCCTGATTTGCCCAAATCCTCCCTCTCCTCCTCTCATCTTAACAGCCCCAACAGCAGAAGCTCATGCAGGACCCAGCAACCATGGGTCAACCTCATTCTCTACTCAGTAGAAGAGATTCTGGATTTGGGGACAAATCCTACAATTTATCATAAGCTATTTACAGGTCTCTTTGCTTGAGCTAAACCCACAAAGCTTGGCTGTTCTTAGAAATCCAGCCCTGAGGAGCTGCTGCAGGCTGGCTCTGTGCCCAATTTCCCTCTTGGGGATGTGTAGGGAGGAGTGGCAGGGGCAAGGGACAGAACTGATGTCTGGAGCAGCAGCAGCAGCGTGGTTGTGTCCTCAAAGTAACCCCAGGCAAAGCTGGGGAGCCTCAAGGACTCCAAACCTGAGTCCTCCTCCAGCCCCAGCTGGACATTCCCAAGGTGCAGCTGCTCTCCATGGGGCTGGATTCATCCCAGGCTGGAATATCTGGTGGCTTTGTGGGAAGCTGGTGCTGGCAGGATGATTTGTGGCATCAGAGCTGAGGATAACCCTGGTTTCAGGAGCATCAGGAGGCCTACAAAGGGATACTGCAAATCTGGCCCAGATAAAGCACTTTCAAGGGAAAAATAACTGTTAAAGGAAAGAAGAAAAGCGGCACACATCGTTCCCTTCTTGCCTACTTGTTTTTTCTTAATTTAAATCCCAAGCTGATTTTTAAATGAAGTTTGAATCAGAGTTCAGTGTTCAGTGGCAGGGTGAGCTGACCTGACCCACCACACCTCCAGCCAGGGGGAAGACCCAGAGGGGACCACAGGGACAGGGACTTCTCTTGGCAGTGGAACAAAGCTGAGCAGCTAAAGCTGACCATGAAATTCCCAGAGTGCTTTAGCTTCATTTCAAGTCCTTGGAACAGTTTCCCATGGGATGCAGGGCTCTGAGGTTCCTTTCCTTACCTTAAATCCCCAGGGCATGCTGGTGTCTGGAGGGAGGTACCCCACCTGACCCCAAACCACCTTATCTGTCTGGTTTTTAATTAAGACCAAAATTAACAGTGCATCCCAAAGCCACAAAACATCCCCCCTGAGCTTTGCACCGGGCTCCAGCCGAGGCTTGAACTAGAAAGTTGCCTCGTTTTTCCCTCCTAAATCACCCAACATCTGCTTCTCAGAATCTGATTAACTAATATCCTTCAGCGGAAATCCCTGCCCGTGGAAAATCATAATAATAACAAAAAAACCACGCGAGGCAGAGCGACGGTGAAAGAGAAAGGTCATTTGGAGGGAGGGTTGGTGTTTTACCCATCACATCCCAGCCAGTCGGGGCTGTGGCTTCCACCAGGCTCTCTGCACCCAGTCAAACCTTCCTCCCTGCAGTCCTCCTCCTCCTCCTCCTGTGACCACCCTGTGTGAACAACATCCATCCCTGTGATGTTGTTCACAGAGGGTCTGAGGAGGAGGGAAGAGATGAGGATCTGACTCCGTGTTTCAGAAGGTTTGATTTATTATGTTATGATATATATATTACATTAAAACTATACTAAAAGAATAGAAGAAAGGATTTCATCAGAAGGCTAGGTAAGAATAGAAAAAGAAGGAATGAACAACAAGGACAGAGAGTCTGAGCCAGCTGACTGTGATTGGCCATTAATTAGAAACAACCAACAGGACCCCCATCCCAGATGCACCTGTTGCATTCCACAGCAGCAGATAACCATTGTTTACATTTTGTTCCTGAGGCCTCCTAGCTTCTCAGGAGGAAAAATCCTCATAAAAGATGTCTGTGACACATCCCCAAGGTTTTTCCAGATTATTGGAGGTGTTGAGCCTCTTCTCACCCCTCTCCTGTCCCCTTCCCTCCCCATCATCATCCCTGGGTGGGATGAGAAAGGAGATTGTCTCCTCTGCCCACCCTCACCAGCACCTGCAAGGACTTACCTGGCCAGGGCATGGAAGCACCAAAGCATTCAGCATCTGGGGAGAGAGTGATCAAACACACACAGGGATGTGCAGGGTGAGGAGAAAGCCCAGCCATACCCTCGCACGGCGCCTTTGGCCGGACAATGTCATTGGAAAGGCTCCTGTGTCCCTTTGCTCCAGCGGGGAATTGGCAGCCCCGCGCCTAAGCCGGGCTTTGGCAGGGGGACCTCGGCCCCCAAATCCCCCCGGGAGCCCTGGAACCAGCCGGGGCTCCATGGAAAGGCGCTGGGCACACCCTGTCCCCACTCCCCATCACCCGGGGAGGGGGATCGGGCTCCCACCTCCTGTGCCCACCCGCCGGGCGGCGAGACGGGAGCAGAGGACGTGCCCTTCTGGCGGATGGATGCCACCTTTAATCCCCAATAATGCTGCGGATGCTCCAAGTCTTGTCCGTGACGTGGCGAGGTCTGAGCTGGTCCCCGCGAGAGGGGGGACAGGGACCCGCACACCGGCAGAGGGATTTACAGCTCCTTTTCAGGTATTATTATAAAATATTAAAAAGAGGAGAAGGGGAGGGGAAAGCCCAAGGGTTGGAGCATCCCCCGCTGCCCACCTACCTCTCGCCCGCGGTCGTGGGGACAGGAGGGGACAGTGCCACCACCGCCACGTGGGACGTGTCCGTCCCCGCCCCGGGGGGACTGGGACCAGATGCGGTACAGCTGGCACAGCCAGGAAAGGGCATCGGTGCCAGGGAGAGGGAGAGGAGGGACCTGGCCCTTCCTCACGCCAGGGTGCAGCTGGGTGCTGGCTCCGGGCTTGTCACCTCCAGGAATTAATCAATTAATAAATAAATCTTTATTTATTAATGGGCAGGACCGGGCAGGTTGTTGGCAGGAGTCGTTAAAATAACCGGGATTTTTGTTTTCTTTCCCTATTTTGATTTTCTTTCCATTCCGGAGCCTGCTGCTGCTCACGGCCATCTCGCCTTGGGTGCTCCAGAGTGATTTCATCCCCGTTGGCCTCACCCAGGGCTGGATTCCGCTTCCACCTTCACCCAGGTTATCTCCCCACCCTCCTCTTCCTCCTCCTCGCCCTCCAGGCAGGGGAGGAAGGCAGAGGAGGGGGTGGCACATTTCCACCCGCAGGCTTCAGCCTGAATTCCTCAATTCCTCCTCGGTGACGTTCCTTTGCTCTTCAGGGACCCGCTCACCTC